AACCCCACAGTTGCCCCCCGACCCTGGCAATTCCGACAGCATCTATGCATGCGCCCCCAGTGTCACAAATCATCGACTCCTCCCTCACATTCTTCCCAACCACCCCTTCTCCGGACTCCTGGAACACATGGAAGCTTGACCTCACTCTTAACCTCAAGCGTTTCTCCAACCAGGAGAGACGACGCGTTGATGGCACAATTGCACATCTGGAACACACCATCGGCTCACTACAGCGACATGCTGCGTACACGCCCCTGACTCAGGCCGAGTCTAACTAGAAAGCCTCGAAAGCCTCCGAGATCGCGCTCAAGGCCAAGCTCAAAGTGGAAGGGCACAGAGAAATGGGAGTCTCATCCCTTCTCTCTGGCCTCAACTCGCGAATCAAGGTCTCGATCATTAGCTCCCTTATCTTACCAAATCGACAGACGACGTCAGATCTCCCCACCATGACCAACATGTGCTCTAACTTCTTCCAGACACTCTATAGCGGGAACAGCCCTATCACCCCAAACACCGCCTTCTGGCAACACATCCCCCTCTCCTCCATCCGGACCCCCTACTCCTACGCCTTAGCGCCCCCTCCCTAACCGAAATCGGAAAAGCGCTGCTCTCTCTGTCTCGAGGAAAACTCTTCCGGCAATTCTCCCCGCGATTTGCACCAATCTTCCACTCCCTGCTCTCCCCACCACATCCACTCTCTCGCCTACCCCCATCCATGCTGACAGGACGCACTGTCCTCACCCCCAAAAGGGGTGACTCCTCGCTAGTTGAGAATCTCCGCCACATCACCCTCATGAACGCCGATTACAAAGTCCTTGCTCTGTGCCTTGCCAACTGCCTTCAGCTCGTTCTCCCCGAGCTCATTCACCCACCCCAAACCGTCTTCATTAAACACTGGAAAATCGGAGACACAATCAACGATACCCTCGACATCATGGACTCGGCAGCCTTCTCCTCGGCCCCTCTCCTCGCTCTCATGGTGGACTTTTGAAAGGCCTACGACCTTGTCGATCGACCTTTTCTCCTCCAAGCCTTAGCTGTCCTCGGGCTCCCTGCACCTTTCATCCACTGGGTACGACTAATGCACTCCGACACGAACACACAAATCTCTGTCAACAAAATGCTCGGCCCCACTTTCCCTGTCCATACGGGCGTCCGACAGGGCTGCCATTTGGCTCCTCTACTGTTCGTTTGAGCCATTGAGATCTTTCACCGCTATATAACCCACTTCCTCCCCGGCTTCGCTCTGTCCCCCGTTCAGCGTCGCCTCATGGCATGCTACGGGGATGACGTCACTCTTTTCCTCACCTCAAACATAGAGCCTGGCCTTGCAATGATACTCCTAGGCGTTTTCGGATCCGTGTCTGAGGAGGTCCCCAATTGGAACAAATGCTCCATTATCCCCTTCAATATCCCCCCCACTGACCTCGTGCACGCCGGGCATATATCTGTCCGAGCCCCAATGAAGCAGAATGCATCCTTGGAATTTATGTTGAATGATTACACCCCGGATCCACTACCTAGATTAAGGCCCTTGCTCGAATACAAAACACCTCACGTGTCGCAAATCTCTGTCCTCGATTTTTCTGAACTCTGTCATCTCCTATCCCGGACGCTTCCAACCCCGTACCACCGGACACCATCAAACGACTAGACATATCAGTCGGGAACTTCCTCTCATCCTCGAAACATAAACAGGACGGCCTCGCACAATGCTTCCTCCCCAAAGGTCTCCTTTACAACACCCCCCAAGACGGCGGGGTTGGGGCGATCACCCCATCTACCCACATCAAAGCCCTCGCTACCCAGCGTGCCCTGCGCAGATTTGGACCCACCCCGTCCGAGGAAGTCACACGTACCCTGACCCCGTTCCCCTACGGGCTACACGGTCTGCTCTCCCATAAGGCCATCCTTGAACGAGACTACCTTCCACCCTTCATCCCCCCTCGAGCACTGGACGAACTAAAAGCCCCCCTCCCTCTTCCCCTAGTAATCCATGGCCCGCCCCTACGCATGCAATGCATCCTCACAGAACCTCTCGCCTTCAACCGCTCGCTCCTCAAACCCGATGATCGGCCTTTTGGCACCCGCCAACACGAGCATTTCCTGCTCACACGACAGCTCCGAACTGGACACATTGTCCGAATCACCAACTTTGACATATGTGTCAGAATGTTATAATTGTCTAGCCTGCAGTGGGGTACTCTATAGCGAGTACAACCCAATTAGGGTTTCTTATATGTATGCCAACTGCTGCTAGTGCAACTCTCTCTTCTTCATTCCTCATTTCTTCACATGCTATCAGAGCATCTAAGCTCCTGGCCTGTAGGCCCACCTAACTGCTTCCGCTGCTACTCTGTGTGTTGCACACCCCGTGGCGTGCGACAGACTTTTTTCTTCCCCTCCTAGAGGCCCCTCTCACGGCCCCTCGCGCGACCCTTAGCGGCCCCGTCGCCACTCCTAGCGGCCCCGACGCCGCCCTTCTCGGCCCCTCGAGGCCCCTTCGCGGCCCCGTCATCGCCCCTAGCGGCCCCGTTGCCGCCCTTCCAGGCCCCTCGCGGCCCCTTCACGGCCCCGTCGCCGCCCCTATCGGCCCCGTCGCCGCCACCAGCGGCCCCGTCGCCGCCCCTAGCGGCCCCGTCGCCGCCCCTATCGGCCCCGTCGCCGCCACCAGCGGCCCCGTCGCTGCCCCTAGCGGCCCCGTCGCCGCCCCTATCGGCCCCGTCGTCGCCACCAGCGGCCCCGTCGCCGCCCCTAGCGGACCCGTCGCCGCCCCTATCGGCCCCGTCGCCGCCACCAGCGGCCCCGTCGCCGCCCCTAGCGGCCCCGTCGCCGCCCCTATCGGCCCCGTCGCCGCCTCCAGCGGCCCCGTCGCCGCCACTTGCGGCCCCGTCGCCGCCCCTTTCGGCCCTGCCTCGACCCTGCCCCGGCCCCGCCCCGGCCATGCTCCGTCGCCTGTCGCGGCACACCGGGGGCACGTGCCCCGCCCCCCCCTCTTTTCCCGTCGCCCGTCGCGGCTCCCTGGGGGGCCGCGCGACCTGTGGGGGGGGGGGCGAGCGTCGCCCCTTCTGCCGCCTGTTTTGGCGCCCTAGGAGGCCGCGCGTCGCCCCCCTCCTTCCCCCCCCCCCCCCCCCCCCCGTAACCTCCCTACCCTCCGTCCCGCCCTGCCCTGTGTTAGGGTCTGGGGGTGGCGAGTAGGGGGTGGCGGGTGTGTGGTCACCCCTGCTCCTCCTCCTCCTCTGTCTCCCACTGCTGCAGCTGCCGCTGAGGGGGGTGGGTGTGTGGGAGTCGACGGAGTGGTGCTAGGGGGTGGGGTGTGAGTGAACCTAGGGTGAAGCAAGGGGTGTGTGAAAGGGGGGTACTGTGGGAGTGGAACTAGGGTTTGAGTAGGGGGTGTGTGTCGAGGGTGTGGGGCAGCTGGAGGAGGTTGTGTGAAGGTAGTTGTCGTGTCGCCTGCAGCGCCTGTAGTCCGTCGCCCTTGCTTCGGTAGCCAGTGAGCCTGTTGCACCAGTCGCTAGTGGGTCCGTTGCTCGTGCCGCTCGTCTATAGCCGCGGAGCCAGTTACTCCAGTGGTCCGTCGCCCTTGCTTCGGTAGCCACTAGGTCAGCCGCTCCTGTGCCCGTGCCTCTGCAGCTTCAGTCGTTGCCTCCCATCTTCTCTCCCTCCATAGTTCCTCCTCCTCCTCACTTGCCCGCTGTGATTAACTCTAGCTTTGCTCGCTATTGTGAACTCCTGCTCTATGCTTGCTTGCTCATTGTGCTGATTACACCCCACTTTGGCTATGGGGGTGTGTCAGAATGTTATAATTGTCTAGCCTGTAGTGGGGTACTCTATAGCGAGTACAACCCAATTAGGGTTTCCTATATGTATGCCAACTACTGCTAGTGCAACTCTCTCTTCCTCATTCCTCATTTCTTCACAGTATGCCCCATCTCCGCACAAGAGTTTTGCTCCGAAGTCCCGGAAGAATTCCACGAAGACGCAACACGCATCCTCCCGGGTCTCATCAAGGCTATCAAGACTCCCTGGTGGGACGCCCTCCGATCCCCTCACGCCTCATATGCCTCCCCAGGAGACTGGTTCATGCTCTTGGACGACCACTATTCCATCTCTCACCTCGCTCTCCATGTCGTCGCCTTCATTCCTCCCTCCTCAGTCTCGGCTATTGTCCACCTCGTCTCGCCAAACCATCACATCGCCCGTATCCCAGAAAATTTCGGACTCTTCCGTTTACAAGACCTCATTGAGGTCTACGTCAGGGACTGGTGGCTCGCAGGGCCACTTCACACAGGGGCAGAGTTAGGAGCTAGGATAGAACTTCTGCAGGACGGCCCCCCCAGCCTCACCGACATTCGCCGTTTCCTCTACTCTGCACAGCCGCTTACTCACCACAGCCAATAGACCCGCGACCTTACCCTTCCTCCTCCTCCTCTCCCCGGCCTCAAGGATTCCTTTCCCAAAGACCATCCGAGCCGCCAACGGGACATCCTTTTCAGACTCTACATGCTTATCCTTCCCTCTAGATCACGCTTCCAATACTTTGACGATCGAGGGGTCTGCCCCCGATGCTCAGCTGCCATCGTCGAGACACTGCCGCATGTCTTTATTGAATGCTCTTCTGCCGGAAATGTCACGGCCCTACGCGCAGTCGCTGACCGCCACCTCGGGCACACCACCCCCGCCGAACACATCCTCTTCCCAATACAGTCACGGGTGGGACAGTCCCCCCCATGGAGCCTAGTAGTGGGAGCTGCAGTTAAGACCCTGTGGAACAGCCGCTGTGACCACAGGTACCGCAACTCCTCCTCGAGCTTCGAGATACTGCAGCTGATATTAGCCCAGTTCCTCACCGCCTTCAAAATTTATATGTAGAGAGGCAGACACCAATCTGCCAAGAAGCGTCAACGCATATCCTCCAGCATCAAGCGAGTACAGAGACTCCGTCTCCTCCTCTTCGACACGACCGGTACACCATCCATCCATCCCGACCTCAGATTCTCATGGCTCTTGGGAAACCCGTTCCGACCACCATAGACAACCATCGCATAGAGCGTCTCCCCAGGCCGCTGGCGGATGTCCGTTAGGACAAGGAATACGTGTGTTCCATGTGCTCCTTTGAGAATGCTGGCCATCTCGGCCATGTTTCTAGACAGCTCTATGGATTACTCTCTGTACATGGATTACTCTCAACGTTTGCTCCAATCCGTTGCTCCAACCCCATCCCCCACATTGCTCCTCTCACGGCTGTTTCCCCTCCGCTCAACCACCTCCCTCCCAACTCAAAATACCCCTCGTACCTGTCATTTCTCATTTCCTAGCACAGGCCCCTTTATTCCTCAGTAGCCCCTCCCAGATGCTCATCACAAGAAGCAGCGCACAATGCTCCGAGACCAGCAGCAGATAACGCACGCGACCAGTAACGTGCGGCACGTTCGAGCAACAGCGCGCGACGTTTCCGCGAGGAGCACCGCGACTTCTCGCGATCGCATCGGAAAAACAGTGGTGGGGCTTCCGCGAAGAGCAGCGAGGCTCCCGCGATCAGCAGCGCAGCGCGCGGCAAGATCGAGTAGCAGCGCACGGCGCTTAGCCCTTTTCCCTCTCGCAATGCCAGACATAACATCTTACATCTTATAATCGATTATTTTTTCATCTTTTTTTTTTTCGATCAGCAGCGCGCGGGGCTGAGGAGGTGAGGAGCTGTGGAGCTGACCCCTTGAATCGCGAGACTGACTGTAAGCTTTTCGTGAAGTTCTCATCCTAACCGTCGATATCACCCAATACAGAATTGCATTTTTTTTGCTTGTCTAATTCTTCTTAGTAGCTGAACTTTCTGAACTGTATGAACCTTTGGTTCGTCTTTAACTTCCAGTTGCGCATCACCTTTCCGATCCTCCCGTGGTTCCCCATTTGTTTCGTAGCTCGCGCGTTCTGACTCATACCTTCCTGTTCCGCGCTGCAGGCAGAAGAGCAAGGCGTTTCCGCGCGGCAGGCGGAAGAGCAAGGCGTTTCCACGCGGCAGGCGGAAGAGCAAGGCGTTTCCGCGCGGCAGGCGGAAGAGCAAGGCGTTTCCGCGCGGCAGGCAGAAGAGCAAGACGTTTCCGCGCGGCAGGCGGAAGAGCAAGGCGTTTCCGCGCTGCAGGCGGAAGAGCAAGGCGTTTCCGCGCTGCAGGCGGAAGAGCAAGGCGTTTCCGCGCTGCAGGCGGAAGAGCAAGGCGTTTCCGCGCTGCAGGCGGAAGAGCAAGGCGTTTCCGCGCTGCAGGCGGAAGAGCAAGGCGTTTCCGCGCTGCAGGCGGAAGAGCAAGGCGTTTCCGCGCTGCAGGCGGAAGAGCAAGGCGTTTCCGCGCTGCAGGCGGAAGAGCAAGGCGTTTCCGCGCTGCAGGCGGAAGAGCAAGGCGTTTCCGCGCTGCAGGCGGAAGAACATTGCGTTTCTGCGCTGCAGGCGGAAGAACATTTTGTTTCCGCGCTGCAGGCGGAAGAACATTGCGTTTCCGCGCTGCATGAGCGCTTTCTAGGTACTGCACACCAATTTCCCGCTCTTGTTTCCCCTGGTAGTTTCATCTCCCTCCCCCTTTCCGCGCTTTTCCGGTGCTACTCACCCATTTCCCAAATTTTCACGATGCATGCCTTTTGTTTTGTTTTGTTTTTTTCGTTTTCTGTTTTTTTATTTCCAACGCCCTTTCCAGATTCTTTCCGTCATAGCAACCGGTTGCGCGACAATGTGAACGTCCGCGGTTTGATGAGCGGCGTGCCGTGCTACGTGCTCGCGAAAGACGGCAGCGCGGGTCACTCTGGCAAGTACCGGACGGTGAGAGGCTTGGCACACCGAGATGAGGGACTTGGCATATTGAGCTGAGATGCATCACTCATTCCACCCTTGCTCACTCCGCTGTTGCTCGTTCCGCCGTTGCTCGTTGTTGTTGTTGCTCGTTCCGCCGTTGGTCGTTTTGTTGTTGCTCGTTCCGCCCTGCCCCTGATCGTTCCGCCCTGCGTCATTCCGCCCTGCCATTTTTTCCCTCTCTCCACCGCTCTTCCCCTCTCTGCTCGCCACGTTTTCCCTCTCTCCACCGCTCTTCTCCTCTCTGCTCGCCACGTTTTCCCTCACTCCACCGCTCTTCCCCTCTCTGCTCGCCACGTTTTCCCTCCGCTCTTCTCCTCTGCTCGCCACGTTTACCCTCTCTCCACCACTCTTCTCCTCTCTGCTCGCCACGTTTTCCATCTCTCCACCGCTCTTCTCTCTGCTCGCCACGTTTTCCCTCTCTCCACCGCTCTTCTCTCTGCTCACCATTTTTTTCCCTCTCTCCACCACTCTTGTCCTCTCTGCTCGCCATTTTTTCCCTATGTATACCACTCTTCTCCTCTCTTCTCACCACTTTTTCCCTCTGTTCACCGCTCTTTGCCTTGCCCTCCTTATTTGATCCCCCTCCCTATGTCCTCCCCCCCTGCCCTCCTGATTGGCTTCCTCCCTGCCTTACTTGTTCCCTGCCTGCCCCATTCACTCCACACTACCGCCTCTGACTCCCCACGCTCTTACATCTGAACCCTGAGTCCTCGGCACATGATTCCATTCTCATACAACACAACCCCTGCATTCCTGGTACCCCCATCCCATGAAGATGTACGCTTGCGATGCGATGCCAAGCCATGTGTAGAAGGAAATATCGTTTCTTGAAGTATGATGACAGTTGCAATTCTGATTGTATGCGGTTGTTGTTATGTTATTATATATGCTGATGCCTGGGGGGTGGTGGGTCGGTTTAGGCCAGGCCTGTGGAAGCCTAGCCTGTCCCGGTGCTGGTGTGGTCTGGCCAGGCCTGGGGATCTTGGGCCGATGGGGTGTCAGCCTGGCCCCTGTTTCAGCTGCCAGCCGCCCCGTTACCACTCCAGCCGCCCGGTTACCGCTCCAGCCGCCCCGTTACTGCTTCAGCCACCCCTTTACCGCTTCAGCCGCCCCATTACCGCTCCAGCCGCACGGCTACTACTCCAGCTGCCCAGTTACTGTTCTAGCTGCCCGGTCTGTGTTCCAGCTGCATGGATCCTATTTCAGCTGCCAGCCGCCCAATTCTTATTCCAGCTGCTCAGTTCCTGTTCCAGCCGCCACACGCAAGGTCACTGTTTGATCCCTCCAGCAAACAGGAAACCAAAAACTGGAACGTAGACAGAAACAGGAGCAGAAAAAGGAAACAGGAGGCAGAAAGCAGAGACTAGAAGAAGTACGGTAGGAACGGGAGCAGAAGCATGCTCCTCTCGAATCGCATGTTGCTTTGTGGCTGGCCAATGGCCATGCCATGTATAGGTGGGGGTATGCCATGCCATGCCATGCCAGGGTTAGTGGGAGAGGGGGACCATGCCATTGCCACGCCAGGGATAGGGGGGCTGTGAGGGGCTGTGAGGAGAATTGGGGGGTAAGGGGGCCTTCGGGGGGCCTGGGGGGGGCTGGGGGTGTTTTCCATTACCGTCATCGCCCAGATATAAAACATATATGTCTTATCTCGTACACTAAAAAAAATGCTTGGGTTACCGGGGAGGTTTTGGGTGTCTTATAAGTTATATAAATGGAAACTTCTTTAAACTACTTCAAAATATTTTCACACATCTTGAAAAGAGTTTCTCATAATGAGTGTGGATGTTGCGAAGGTGCTACCTTGACAACCATTGTTTGGGACGCCACGTCATGGAGAATATTGTCAGAATCCCAACCACTAGACCATTGGGATAAAAGGGCTTGTTTCAGTAGCGGGTCAGTGCGTCCATAACCCCCCAGGCAAACGCGCCTGTAACCCCTCCTAGGATCGATCGGGGATCTCACAGTGTAGCTCTACTGACACCCCCCCACACTGGGAGGCCCAGGACTGAGCACAGTGGCAACGGCCGACATGTGCATATACCGAGATTCGAACCCGAGACCGCTCTGATACCATGTCAGAATCCCAACCACTAGACCATTGGGATAAAAGGGCTTTTTTCAGTAGCGGGTCAGTGCGCCCATAACCCCCCAGGCAAACGCGCCTGTAACCCCCCCTAGGATAGATCGGGGATCTCACAGTGTAGCTCTATTGACAAATATTTGTAGATGCAATTTTGGTAGTACGTGAGTCAGCACGTGGCAAAATTCGCGTGTCGCAAGGATAAAAATATACGCGGTATTTCAATTTTCATTAAAATATATTGCAGTTTCGGTTATAAGACAGATATGTCTTATCTCGTACACACAAAAAGATGTCTTATAATGAGGCTAGCGTGTTTATAAGAGACATCCGGATAATGGACAACCCCTTTCTACTATTCAACACTGTTTGATATCCAGGCGAATACGGTACTCGTAATTGTCCCTCCGCGCTTTTTTTCACATCTTGCCTTCTTTTGTACCATGCTGCTCCTTGTCCTGCTATTGTTTTCATAATTCTTACCATTTTCTTTCTGGTTATTGTCAAACATTATATATGTTGTTGTAGTTGTTTAGGCCACAGTGGGTTAGCCTATAGAGGGTACACATTCCTAGGTTTTCATACTTGTACTCATTTTCACTGTTAGTTCATCCATTCTTGTTCAACATGGTATAGAGCAGGTCCTTCCTAGGACCGATTTTTTTAGGGCCCACCACTACCTACCTACCTACCTACCTGCGCCCTAGGGCGCCTCGGCTTTCACGTATCAGAATCCCAACCACTAGACCATTGGGATAAAAGGGCTTTTTTCAGTAGCGGGTCAGTGCGCCCATAACCCCCCAGGCAAACGCGCCTGTAACCCCCCCTAGGATAGATCGGGGATCTCACAGTGTAGCTCTATTGACAAATATTTGTAGATGCAATTTTGGTAGTACGTGAGTCAGCACGTGGCAAAATTCGCGTGTCGCAAGGATAAAAATATACGCGGTATTTCAATTTTCATTAAAATATATTGCAGTTTCGGTTATAAGACAGATATGTCTTATCTCGTACACACAAAAAGATGTCTTATAATGAGGCTAGCGTGTTTATAAGAGACATCCGGATAATGGACAACCCCTTTCTACTATTCAACACTGTTTGATATCCAGGCGAATACGGTACTCGTAATTGTCCCTCCGCGCTTTTTTTCACATCTTGCCTTCTTTTGTACCATGCTGCTCCTTGTCCTGCTATTGTTTTCATAATTCTTACCATTTTCTTTCTGGTTATTGTCAAACATTATATATGTTGTTGTAGTTGTTTAGGCCACAGTGGGTTAGCCTATAGGGGGTACACATTCCTAGGTTTTCATACTTGTACTCATTTTCACTGTTAGTTCATCCATTCTTGTTCAACATGGTATAGAGCAGGTCCTTCCTAGGACCGATTTTTTTAGGGCCCACCACTACCTACCTACCTACCTACCTGCGCCCTAGGGCGCCTCGGCTTTCACGTATCAGAATCCCAACCACTAGACCATTGGGATAAAAGGGCTTGTTAAGTAGCGGGTCAGTGCGCCCATAACCCCCCAGGCCAACGTGCCTGTAACCCTTCCCTAGGATCAATCGGGGATCACCAGTGGACTTCTGACACCCCCCCGCACTGGGATGCCCGAAGTGCATACACCGGGATTCGAACCCGAGACCTTCGCTCTGCTACCATATCAGAATCCCAACCACTAGACCATTGGGATAAAAGGGCTTGTTAAGTAGCGGGTCAGTGCGCCCATAACCCCCCAGGCCAACGTGCCTGTAACCCTTCCCTAGGATCAATCGGGGATCACCAGTGGACTTCTGACATCACGCCCCTAGAGGCCCCGTCGGCCACGCGCCCTCGCACCTAGAGACCTCGGTCGGCCCCGCGCTCGCTTTTAGAGGCCCCGAATCGGCCCCGCGCTTACCCCTAGAGGCCCGCGTCGGCCCCGCGCTCATCCTTAACGGCCCCGAATCAGCCCCGCGCTTACCCCTAGAGGCCCGCGTTGGCCCCGCGCTCGTCCCTTCCGGCCCCGATCGGCCCCGCGCTCGTCCCTCACGGCCCCGATAGGCCCCGATAGGCCCCGCGCTCGCCCTTAGAGGCCCACGTCAGCTCCGCGCTCGTCCCTTACGGCCCCGATCGGCCCCGCGCTCGTCCCTCACGGCCCCGATAGGCCCCGCGCTCGCCCTTAGCACCCACGTCGGCCCCGCGCTCGTCCCTCACGGCCCCACCCGCTCCCCGCGCTCGCCCTTAGCGGCCCCGAACGGCCCCACCCAGACCGAGCAGCCCGAACCGAGCCGACCCGAGCCGCCCAGCCCTAACGGAAACGAGCCACCCGACCCGAGCCGCCAGCCCTAACCGACCCGAGCCGCCCGAACCGAGCCGCCCGAACCGAGCCGCGCCGCCCGACCCGAGCCGCCCGAACCGAGCCGCGCCGCCCGACCCGAGCCGCGCCGCCCTACCTATATCGCTTTCGCGCCGCTATGCCTGATGAGTTCCTTGCCAAGAACCCACCCCCGCTCTGGCTCACTCTCTACCACCTAGTCACGCGCCTCCCTGACACTCTGCGCTCAGTCAGGGACCACTTCCTAGCTCGCTGCCCCACCGAGCTCACCATTGCCCTCCTCGAGAAGGAACTGCTTGCAGCTGAGGCTAGCATAGTCGCTGTAGGTGCCTCTCGCGGTGACCCCCGTACCCCGTTCTTTGAGGGGTGTTCTCCCTCCCCCCTTCTTCCCTCTGTCGCCTCTGCTGCTGCTGTCGACCTCCTTGGTGCTGAGAAGGTCGGGACTGCGTCCGCTTCGAGTGGGCGCCGCAGCGGTAAGGGCAAGGGGGGCAAGGGCGGTGGTGGTGACAGCGGGGGTGGCGGTGGTGGGGGAGGTGGTGGTGGCGGGGGGGGTGGCGCGGGTGGGGGAGGTGGCAGCAGTGGGGGGGGTGGCGGCAGCGGCGGGGGAGG